AGGATCAGGGCTCTGATTATAGAAGGTATAACAAAGTCAGAGAATTCCCAATATACAAATTTCAGGGGGAAAGAGGAAGTTTCTGCTAATCAATTCAGAAAGCAGGACGCTGTGGATTCCTATTACCTTGCTGCCCTCAAGTACATCAGGAGGTCACAGTCATTGACTCCAGGCATCCAGACCAGTTCCTCGTGTTGGGTCACAGTGTCTCCATCGGGAGAAGGGAATGGTTGCAAGTCGGGAAGCTTGGCCTGTAAGACAGGGATGAAGAGTTACAATCAAGGCACATTTAAAGAGCTGCCTCAGCAGGCAGGCCTTGGGGACAGATCCAGAAGTGCACTGAGCCTCTTTCCTTAGGTAGCACAGAAGTAAGAGAAAAATCTAGTCACTGAACATGGCCTATTGCAAATTTTAGGATCATTCCACTATGGATGATTTCACAACAGACTGCTTAATCTCTACTTCAGGAGCAGCAAACTGTCAAAGTAAACCAGTGCAAGTATGGTCCAAAGAGGGAAAAAGAAAAGCACGTGTGAAAAAAAGAAATTATAAAACAAGACATGTCTCAGGAGATAACAGCTCCTTGACACGGAAGGGAAAACCACACACATTTCCAATATAACAAGTTTACCAAGAGACATTTATACAAATAACGAAACCTCACCTCAGGATATTTGCTAAAAAACTTCAGTGAACTATCCTACTGAACTAATGGTACTTTCAACTGAGTCAGTAACAATGAGCCAGGGTGACCATCCGAAACAGCCATGACGGTCACATTACAAGCACAGCTGCACTCAATGATGACGATGGAAATTAGGTTAAGTAGTGGCTTCAGGAGGAGAGGACTGCTTGCGACGAGGCAGGAAGGAACTTTCTGACATGACAAATGTTCTGTGTCTTGATATGAACTGTCACAGCAGACTGCACGGTATACGTAAGATACGAATAGGTCCCTGTACATAAAGCATGCCTCAATTTAAAACATTTTTTGAAATATCTGAACACGAGTGCTCAACAACCAAGATTCGAAGGGAACTCTGTTAGCGATTTAAATATCTGCAGCGTTTTCTCATCCTTCTCTGCTGGGACGGAGCAAGAGTCAGCAGGCACTCTAACTACCGTAACCATCAGAGCCCTGTGGGAAGTCAGCCATCTGCAAAACACACGTGTTTTTATTTTCTCAACTTACAAACGTGGTCAAATTTAGTCTAATATTTTAAATTAAAAGCTGAAGTTAAAAAGCTCCAGTGTCCACGGAACCCAGGCAAAAAATATAAATGAATGAAGCAGGCAGAGTGTACAGCCAATAGAAATAAAACAAGAGCCACGTATTTCACTTTCAATATTCTACTGTCCACAGTACACCCAACCCTACATCCCAGTTTCAACTAGCCACAACTCCAGTGCTTTGCACCCAGCGGCAGTGGCCCCTGTACTGGGCGTGCAGGTATTAGGTACCAAGGAGCAAAGGGAATCAGGGTAAAGGGAACGAGAGAACACTGCCATGCAGGAATGAGAACCAGTGTCTGTACATCCTCTAGTTTCTCCCAAAGTCCAGGAATCTTGACTTCAATGTGAAAGTTCATGGTTTTAAATGTTGGTTATTGAAGTTTTAAAAGCAACTGTATGGCAAGACACAACATTAGCAGGCCACGCAGCTCGCAGGCTGCAGTCTGCGATCCGCTGCATCGGCTGGCTCTGGTGCCTCCAATGCGTGTTAAGTGCTGACCTCCCTCAAACAAGGATGCTCTTCTTTAATTAGCTCTGCTTGATACACATAGCAAAAGCATAAGGATAACATTGAAACACGATAGCTGTTCCTATCAAAAAGTCTTTGACATCTGTACCGAGCTGCTCTTTCCCAGCACAGGTACAATGCCCGGTGCAGCAGCTCTCCAATAGCTGTTTGTTACATTAATTAAAAAGGACTATTGCTACAGGGGAGGACTAACCCCTCTAGAGAAAAATGGACTAGAAATATAACGGGGGGGGGGGTTTATAGCTCCAGCACGTGCAAGGTTTGGGTTCAGCCCCCAGTTCCTCCATATCAATCAAATTACCACCCCCAAAATAAAAAACAAACAAAAGTTAGTTTACAGAAAAAGAAATGCAAATGGCTCTTAATCATAGAAAAAGATGATCAACCTTGCTGACAAGAGATATGCAAATTAATGACAGAGATACAATTTCCCATCTATCAGACTGACATAAATGCCAAAGTGTGATAACGCACAAGGCTGTGTGTTAGCACTCACATGAGCTCCTAGTATGAATGCAAAGTGGTACAATCTCCATGGAGGGGAATTCTGTCAACCCTCAGGATTACAGGTGCATCTGCCCTCTAAGCCAGCCATCCCCTTCTGGGGATAACATAATAGCCCAAAGACACGTTGGCAAAATAAAAATCTCTGTGTACAAGCTATTCATTGAGGCATTACTTCTGATAGCAAATGACTGGAAGCAACACAAATACCAATGGGAGGGACTGGGAAGAATGAACATCTCCACCCAGCTAGTGGAGTCCCAGAAGGCGGCAGAAGGAAATGAGGAGGAGCCCTACATATTGCTATGGAGGGAGCATCAGGATATAGTGTCAAGAAGATAAAAGAAAGGTGGTAAAAGTGTTTACATTATGATGCCATTTACCTAAGAACAGGGGTGTGGGGAACAAAAATAAGAATGATAAAACCTTAAGCTAAAAAACACTAACATAACAATAATCCATCAGGGAGGCAGGGAACATGTGGAGGAGAAAGGGAAAAAAAGGTGAACTTTTTTTGAATACACTTCATTTGTATGTTTGACTTTGGAGCCAGGTAAACATTTTACATAATTATAAAGGCAAAATTAAGTTTAAAAAACAGCAATCCCTTAAAAATTCTAAAGCAAAATGAAATAAATGCACCAAACTATGTTTTCAGCTGGTTCCTCTCTAGGAACCATTTCAAGTAACTTCAAAACATATTAATTGGCCTACAGAGCCTTATATTCCAAGGACAAAAAACAGGCTTAATAGTAATCTGTTTTCAATAATCATATTGTTCGCAGCAGTGGAGTATTGTTATTCTGAGCTGCTACAGATGTATTAGAGGATTAAAGCAAATGAATAATTACACAGGTGTCATTTAAAAATTGGTTTTGAGACATGGGAAAAAGAAACAGATGCAGATGAAAGAACTACTTCACCCATAGGACTAAATGTAAGGCCTAGATAAAATTCTGAATTTGAATTAGAAGTATCAGGAAGAAATCATCACATCTTAAAAAAAAGAAAAGGAGGGGAAAAGCGTATTTCCTAATCTGCTCCCTGAAAAGGCCCAGAAACAGTAACCAACCCAGTAAGAATGAACGTCCCAGCAGCCAGTCAAAAACTGCCACTTTCCACTAAACAAGGAGGACTCCTGTAAAAGGTCAGTTCTAGACCTAGGGCAGGGAGCACACATGATGACACATTAAAACCACGGCACACCGGATTAAGGACTCCACTGAAGACACTGGGGTTGAGTTCACAGGACACAAGACAGCAGGAGGACCAGCCCCCATAGGGACGATCCAATCATCAGTAAGAACAACTGCAGCTGGCTGCAGGGAAGTTATTTTAAGTCCACTGACGACTGCTGGACAGTGGGGAACCAACTCAGTATTTGGAATACTGGTAAAAAGAGGGAAAGATCCAACCATTTATCTTGCCTTTCTTATGTATTTCAGTGAATCAAAAGTTGACAAGAGGGAAAGTTGATCAGCTGATAAATGAAGGAATGAGAATTAGGGCGTCGCATTTTTAGAGTGGATCTAAGTAACAACCGTCGGCTCCAGTCACCACGACGCACATGTGCCGGACGGAGCACGTGGCACCACACACGCGTGTTCCTGCCGGGGGGGGGGGGGACAGGGCACCCAGCTGGAGCGCAGTTAACCTCTCGATTTAACTGCTAGGTCTCCAGACGTGTCGGGAACAGGGGAACAAGTTTCATGACACATGAAGACGCAATCAGTCACCTCCAGACTGCAGCGAACCCCATCAGACAAAACACTCTGCTTCTTCCCATATGTATTGAGAGGGGGAAAATAAAAGAAATGGGTAAATTAAAAGAGATTTAAGAGACATACCGACCAATTGTAATGCATAGCTCTTATTTAGATTACAGTTTGAACTGTAGGAAAAAGAAAGGGAGGGAGAAAAGGGAAGCAGTCAATGAGGGAATTCTGGACATAGCAGACACTTGACTATTAAGAAACTGCTTATTTTCATCAGGTGTGATACACTGTGATTCTGGGTTTTTAAACTTTTTTTAATTGAAGCATAGTTGGATTTACAATGTTGTGCTAGTTTCCGGTGTATATTATACTGATTCAGTTATATATATATACATATTTCTTTTCTTTTCTTTTCCATATTCTTTTTCATTACAGGTTACTACAAGACACTGAATAGTTCCCTGTGCTACACAGTAGGCTCTTGTTGTTCATCTGTTCTGCGCACAGTAGTTAGGATCTGCCTATCCCAAACTCCCAGTTTATCTCTTCCCCCCCCTTTCCCCTCTGGTAACCATAAGTTTGTTTTCTGTGTCTGTGAGTCTCTTTCTGTTTTGTAAGTAAGTTCATCTGTGTCAGTTTTTTAGTTTCCACATATAAGTGATACTGTTTGACATTTGTCTTTCTCTGTGTGATTCTGTTTTTTGAAAAAAGCTCCTATTTTTAGGACATTCACAAGTAAAATGATTCATTTGTGATTCATTTCAAAGCAACGAAGGCAGAAGTGCAGGGGAGAACAGATAAATAAGGCTGCCCGTAACTTGACAGGTAGGAAAGCTGAGTGGCGAGGATAAGGGCATTTTCACCATGTTATCTTTCCCTGTTTTTACATGTTAACCTTGTATCTAATTTAAAAATTTTAAGAAAGGAATATTGCCAATTCACAGAAAGTCCTATTTAGTGCTCCAAAACACTTCTTTTTGAAAATGAAGCATAATACATATTTAAAATATGATATACAATAAATATTTGATTTTAAATGAAAGTACACAAAAATCCAAGCATAGTAAATCTGCTCCTTTCCAAGATTTTAAGCATCTTTTACTTAAGAACCACTCTTTCTGTTATGGCAGAGGAAAAATCTGTAAAATAAAACTAGTACAAAGATCTCAAGCAAGACACTAGAAACACACGGAGGAAGAAGACAAGGATGGGGAAATACAGTAGCTAGAGAGAGCACAGGGGGAGGTGTCATGAGGTGGGACCAGGATGACCTGGATCCCGTGATCAAAATGTAACTTGCAGGCCTGAAGGCATTCTGAAAAACACAGCTGAGATGTAGCAGTCAGACCCGCCTACTGGGCCACAGCAAGAGAAGGGTGCGCCTGAACAGGCAGGGGCCAAGGGGGGGTCCTCCTGCAGCCTTCTTCTGCCTGTCTTAGTTACAAGCCCAGCCCTGGGACAAGAAGTATCTTCTACAAGTCAGATGCCTCTAACAGTTTCTGTGTTTTAGTTTTAATATCCCTTCACTTCTTAATTTCTTTTTCATTACAGTTAAAACAGATTCTTAAAAATATCTATGATATGTAAGAAATGCTCAACATTTAGACAGAAAATCCTCTATACTCTGATAAAGGAGATGCCTGGAACGCATGTCCTAGTACGTGACGGCTACAGTGACTCAGGTCCAACATCCACTCCACCTCACGAGACAGTCCAAGCCCATCGTGCTAATAAACCCATTTTCCTCAAGTCTAGAAACGATCACATGACCCAATCCCTGGCACTGAGATGTGGGACTAATGGAGACTTGAGAAATTTTTCCTCCTAAGAGGAAAAGAAGGATGAGCCCTTTCCTTTCAACATTTGCTGTATCTGCGTTCACTGTAAGATCCACTATTGCTTTACGTGCATTTAGAAGGAAGAAATGCTACCAATTAAATAATCACACTATTGATGTTGGGTCCAGTGAAGACTGACATCAGAGATAATAAAATGTTAAGGAAAGAAGGCAGCCCCTGGGGAGAGCTGAGCACCAAACCAGGGGAACCACAGAGAAGCAGAGCAGAGCCCTGGTCCTGCCTGACCAGGATGTAATGATATGTGAAACCATCAGCAGCCACGTTCAGCCACAGTTTTCTGGCCCTGCCTGTCAAACATCCTAACTGACACAGAGATTAAAAAAGAGATGACAAATGTAACTGGAGTCCCCGTAAACTGAATAAAACATGGAAGGAAAGGCACAGGTCATGACACAACAAGCTTCCAACTGACAAACATCTTAACCAGTTTGACTTTTCTGAAGGGAAGTTAACAGGAAATACGTGGTGACCCAGTGTTCATCAACAGATGGACAGATGTACAATGAATTATTCAGCCTTAAAAAGAAACTAAATTCTGATACATGCTACAATATGGGAGCACCTTGAAGACATCTAGATGCATCTACTAAAAGGGCAAATGCTGTGTGATTCGACTGACACGAGGAATCTAGAATGGTCAAATTCAGGGCCACAGAAAGTACAAGGGGGTGTTGCTAGAAAATGGGGGCAGGGAGAATGAGGAGTTCCTGTTTAATGGGTACTGAGTTTCAGTCTGGGAAGATGAAAAAGTTCTGTAAGTGGATGGTGGTGATGGTTGCACAACAATATGAATGTACTTAATGCCACTAAACTATACATACACTTAAAAATGGTCAGAATAACAACATTGTAAACTGACTATAACTCAATAAAACAAACAAAGGGCAATGTAAAACAATTTTTAATATTATATAATGCCAATGAAACTTGAAATCTCATTAATATAGTTCTAGGAATATTTTAAGAATAAGCTCTTGTTCAAAAGACTAAATAAAGCTTCAAAGATTTTTAAAAAGTGGTCAGAATAGTCAATTTTATGTTATATATATTTTACCACAAGTTTTAAAAATACATGGTAATCTAAAAAAAATTAAATCTCTACATTTACATAAAATTCTCAGTAGCGTAACAATAGTTCTAAGTTGCTGCTCAACAGAATAAAGGGCCAGTTGAATATTAAGAAATAAAAACCTACTGAAGAAGCTACTGAAATTTGCTTTACCTGATGGCTAGGACCAACACGAATTTCTCCCTGGGTACTGTTCAGCCTCCTGTCATGAAAAGAACAGATCAGGTTAGCACAATATAGTTTTGATATAAACAATCACACGTTTTTCAAGGAAAATAAATCACTTGAAATAAATGAGGGGTAACTCAGGAAGAATGAACTTTCCCACTACTTCTAATGTTGCCCTGGACATGTGTAACCCCCAGCAACCCCCCCCCACACACACAGAGCACTAAAACCTTTTCCTTCTAAAAACCCCTTCACTGTAGCTTCCTGGCTTGAGTACCTACACCATCACTATCTGACACCTCAGAAGAGACGAACAATCCTATAGCACAATCCCAATACATGCTCCTTTCTTTCGAAACATTTCAGGGTGCCCTACACTATATATCTTACTAAAATATAAACAAGATAGCTTACAATCCCTAGCGCACACACTGGGTCGGTCATTCATTCATCCATTCAACAAATATTTAGTAAGTACCTACTATCAGCCAGGAACTGCCCTAGGTGAAGATAAAGCAATGGAACAAAAACAACATTCCTGCCTTACTGCAATTTTTACTCTAATTCGAGTAAAAAACAAAGAAACAAACAATAGCTCAGATGATGATAAGGACCAAGGAATTAAAGAGACAGTAAATGATGAAATACTTTTACAGCTCTTTATACAGGAGGGTCAGAAGAGGCCTTATTAATGAAGTGGAACTTGGGCAGAGGTGTAACAGGGATGAGGGGGTTAGCCCGGCAGGCTCGGCAGCGAAAGACCTGTCTCACTGCTGCATCACTCCTGCCGCATCTGCAACACTCGCTCCTTCTTGCTCCAGATCCAAACTACCTGGTTCCTTCTAAAAACCACTGTTTCACTGAAGCCTTTCTCGATCTCCTCCCCGTGCCACCTCACACACCCCCATAAGTGCGGGGTGCCTTCCTCTTTTCACTCCTTCAGGGAATATGCATTGAACGCCTTTTCACCCCAGGCCTCGCACAGGGCACGCAGTGGGCACACGTGCTGGACAAAGAAACGCAGCCCCCGGCCTCCCAGAGCTCAGATCCCAGAGCTCCCTGTTCCCCTCGACTTTCAATCTCGACTCTGGGCTATCTTAGGAAAACCCTTTCCGTGCCCAGTGACAAGACTTTACTGTGTTTTGCAGTCACCTCTGAATTTCCACTACTGCTGAAGAGCAGGCTTTCATACAGGCTGCTCAGTGATGATCTGGTGACTTGGACTGAGCCGAAGAGCATAATAAAGCAGCAAAGACAAAGAGGAAGCAGTCTCTCGTTTCTATCCCATGGATCTGATACCCTCCACCATTAGTTTTGAAGCCGTTAAATGAGTTTTGGTAAACTATTATTTCCTTCAGGTCCAGCACTTTCTTCTTTAAACCTGACAGTTTTTCTTGTGAAGAGTCTAATTTTGGAAAAGTGGGCAGCAGATCCGATAAAGGAAGAGAGAGACTAACAGAAAGAAAATGGGCTAATCCTTAAGAAGCTTACAATCCATCTACCTGGGGAGGGAGCATCCATGCCCCAAACACCAGAACAGGTCCAGTCACTGCATTCACAAGCACAAAACATTTCAGGAAAAGCAGGGCACAAAAATGCTAAGGGGAGGGATCAAAATGAGGCAGGTTTCAAGAGGAGACAGTCTGTGAAGTTCCAAAGAGACCCCTCAAGGGGATAAGGAGCAAAACTGCAGGGGTTTCCCAAGAGCAACTAAAACCCTGAGGCAGACACTGAAAAAGAGAGACTGTGGTGGAAGAAAAGCTTGTGCTAAGTGCTGACTTCAACATACAAGCCGTCTTCATTTAAAAAAAAGAAACTTTTTTAATATGGGGGGGTAATTCAGTTTATGTACTTATTTATTTTTAGAGGAGGCACTGGGGACTGAACCCAGGACCTCACGCATGCTGAGCATGCGCTCTACCACTTGAGCTTTCCCCACCCACGTCTGTGTCTTCGTTTCTTTAGCAAGGGGACAGCATGTTGAAATGCAGAAGCTAGACGAGGGGCTGGAATTCCAGAGGGTTTGTGCAGCAATCACGAGAAGCTGTTTTAGGAGGGATGTAGAGGAATCCAACAAGCCAGGAGGCTATTTTAATCTGAGCACTTCTTTAAAAAAACAAGCAGTCAGTGTTACCAACCATTTCCCTTCCAACTTGTCCCTTTCTGTTTCGTAACTAGCTATGAGCAAAAACTAGCTGCCAAAAGCTCTCTCCTTTATTTCTAAATACTTTCCAAACGCTTGCCTGCCTACAAGTAGGTCGAGCCAAAATGTATCATCTCAGAAAGCTGTGCAGCCACAGCCTGTCCAGTAACTTGTGCCACAGCTCAACTTTCAGGTTCTTCTAGAAGGTCTGTGTCCTGCCAAGGTTCTCAAGTGGTTGGTTATGAAAGCCCTTCCCCGTCACTGCTACATACACTGCAAAGTCCTTGAAAACAGCAAGACAAACATCCTTGGTTCATTTTTATTTTATTTCTCTTTTTTATTTTTTTGCATGGGTTTGTTTTTATTTCTTTTCTTTTCTTTTAATATTTTAGTAAGCCAATATTATCATATTTAGCTCAAAATTATGCCACAATACAAAAAACAACCTCTCAAAATATCTTATTGAATAGAACTGCTTATACCCCACTTATTTTGTGCAAAAAATAGGAGGCTAATAATTATCAATGCCACTAGTAACGATATAAGTGAGACAAAAATGTGCTGGGGTATCTTAAGAGCCTAAATTAGAAATCTGTTTCTTTTACGTTTATGGCAATGAAAGGTACTAATAAGTACCTTTATTAATGAGTAGATTGAAAAGGACAAAATAAAACAAAGAATCTTTTAAAATTAAAAATCAGTTCTTATCATAAAAGTATTTCTTTATCATATGTAATTTTTAAATATTAGGGTTTCATAGCAAGAGATACAACAGAATTTTTAAAATATTTTATTTATTTATGTTTGTTTTGTTTTGGGGGGGTAATTAGGTTTATTTATTTACTAATTTTATTTTAATGGAGGTACTGGGGATTGAACCCAGGACCTCATGCATGCTAAGCACACACTCCACCACTGAGCTATATACCCTTTCTCCTCAACAGTTATTTTTGAAAAGGATTAAGATCCAAGGTAAGCAGCCAACGGCATTAGCCTACCATACCCAGGAACTCCCTCTCAAATACAGAATAAATGGCAGAAATACTTTTTAGGTTCAAGATAAAAAGAGGTAGGTAGCAACACACCCCATTAGAGAAAACTGGACACCTCTGACAGAAAAACTATCAGAATATGAACTAAAGATGAAAAACAAAAAGTAGGCTTCATGGGAAATTGCCAGTATCCAGCAATGTCTAGAATTCAGCGAACAATTACAATCCTGTCTTCTTTTAACAGCATCCAAACTCTAAATGTTCCTCCCCTGCCACCACCCTCACCCCCTCTGTGGTTCCTACCTCACTATTAGAGTGCAACATCTCCTACCTCCATCCACTCTGGGACTCCGGGCTTCTGGATCAGAGACTGAGATTTAACTCACTCTATATCCCCCAGAACCCAACCTAGTACCTGCCGAACGGTATTACTCACTCAGGACAAACCGAAAACCTGGTTGCATGAATATTTCTTGACTACTAAGATGTAAAACTTGACAAAAATCACCAGGAATTATTTTTTAAATGCAGTATCAACAGCTTATAGAAAACACTGTTAATCATCATATGCTGACCACTACATTTTTCTTTTTATTTAACACAGCAATTCTCAAGCTTTTTGGTCTCAAAACCCCTTTACACTCTTTAAACTATTGAGCATCCCAAGAAAGTTGTATTTTTGAGAAATTCCAAAAATTAATTAACTTATTTATTTATTTATTTATAAATAGCAATAGGTTCATTACATAATATACTCATGAAAAGTAATTGTATTTAAATTTAAAAACCAGTGAAAATAGAGGTTCTGTTTTACATTTTTGCAAATCTATGAAAAAATCTAGTCTCACACAGCTGTATAACTGGGAAATTAAAGGATATTTGAAGTTTTTTTGATAATTACGAATATTCTTTTTGATACTACACCAAAACTCAACACATGATTGTTTCTTAAATTTTTCTCCACAATATGAATCTAAAATCTTATCAGTGATATTCTGGACTCTTTTATATTAAAATCTATTGGTCTGTCTTGGCCTTTGGATGGATCTTCCACCCATGATTCTGTCATGCATTGGTTACATGAAAAATACTAGTTCACTAAGTTTTGCAGATCTTCCAAAATATTAACACAGTCAATTATACAATTTTTTAAAGTCATATTCATTAATATCACCAAACATCTTATAAGAAAAGCCTGTAAGTGTACTGAAGCTGTCAAGCTCAGAGCAGTGGGTACAAGTCTTTCAAGATTCTAATTATTATTTTAAAGCCCTCATCTTACATTGGCAAAATACTATCAGTTGTTTCCTTCCCTTCATTCATTTTCAAGATAACGTCTGCCAGTCAGCCATGCAAATGAGCACAGTTTGTCAGTTACTCTTTTGAATTAAAATGGTGTTCCATGAAAGACCAGTTAAGCTTCTGACGCAAACAAGCATTGCACATCCCCGGGTGTGTGCGTCTGGAGGTCTTCCATGGTGCTTCCCATTTCATCATAAAGAATATTACAGAGACAGAAACTCAGGGGCCAGGATTTGACAAAATTAATAATGGGGCCCACAACCCAGCTCTGAGAAGCACTGATTATGATACATTCTGAGCTTCAGAAAATACTGGCACTAACTAACTATGATGATTTATTGTTTCCTGTTTTGTATTACTTGTTCCCCTACTCTATTTACACACACGTCTTCCTCACTCTAGCCCATCAATGTGAAATATGAGACCTTCTACTTTTGTTGAAAAATAGAGACATTCACGCATATAACCTGCTTAAGAACTATGACCCTGTTACACAGGGATTTTTCACAAGAAGAGAACAGACATTGACTGCATCCACATTAATGGAAAGTAAAGTGAAGTCTGGAGCCACTTTCTGAATTCACGGGGACTGGGATT